CAGCGTTGCATCGAAAACATATATTTGAAGCAACAGAATGATGTTGTGAAACGCGTTTTTGAAACATCCCTAGGCCTGTCACGATAACAAATTTTGCTGGACGATTAATTGTCTCAGAAATTATTGCGATAAATTATAATATTGTTTGAAATTTGACAATAATTAGTAATTATTGTAAACTTTAAGAAAAAATGTGGGTTAATTTTTGTGTGTAGTACTTTTTTTGCCACTGGATGGCAGTATAAAACTGTTTGAACCGAAGGATGGATAGTGAGAGAACAAGCAGTGTGACTCTTTAAGGAAAAATGGTAGAGAGGCCCCTTGACATGACGTGGGCTGTCTCTCCTTCCCATTTGTCTGTTCTCAAACTGGTGTACGCTCGGTGTGGTTTGAGCTCTTTAGAATAAAACAGAATAGAAATAGAATAGAAACAGCCTTTATTGCCCCACGGATGGGAAATTCAAGTGTAACAGCAGCAACAGCAACAACAGATAAAAAGATAAAAACATTCACACAAAAAGTTCCTAAAATGTTAAAAACAATATATAAAGAAATAAGATAAACAATATCAATAATAATGTTCAATATGTGTTGGAACATTGAGAATGCTTAGTATAGCATTTGCCATACAAAGCTTTTAATAAAAAATCTATAAACAAGTTTTCAGCTTCTTTTTGCAGAGAAAAATAACTTTTTACATGAAGGCACGGGTTTCAACTGTGAATTTTGGAGATTTGACAAGACGGAGGTTTTTTTTTCCCTAGGTCGGCCTGTTAGCTTAGCTTGTACATTAGCTTCTCAGCTTAGCTACTTTTAACGATCCAAAAACGCGATTTTAGACGGTTAAAACAGATTTTAAAGAGAAAGGGATGAGTCAGTGAAGAGCACCAGAGTTGAGCCTTTTGTCATCCAATGTCTTCAGTAGAAAGAGAGAAACACGAAGAAACTATAAAGCCGATAAATGAAAATGAGGTTGATCATTTTCATTTATCGTGCGATTTATTGATTTATTTATTGCGACAGGCCAAAGCATCCCCCCCTTTTTTTGTCAGTGTGCTGCTGACACTGGGACATCCCGTCATCATGACAGTGTTAACCTAAACAAATTCTTCTTTGCATCTAAAAGTGCCAAGTAAGCGAAACAAAATGCCCCAACTGGACTCAGCACAACTTTCCACGCTCAGAAAGTCAAATAGTATCTTTTATTTTGGCGGGTTCCAATGACTGCGCTCTGTGATGAACTCCTGCTGCGCCTCCTCAAAGGGCACTTTCACCCTTGTGAGCATATTTGCATACAAAGTGAAGGCAGTGAAAACGTGTTTCACACTAATTGTCAACTCTTTTATTGTCAGGGTTAATGCAGTCCTCAGGGGTTCTCCAGCATCTCCTTTTCCTTGAAACAGTGAGAAAAGACTCACTTTAAATTTACTGCCCTCTATCTGCCACTGGCCTGCACTGAGCCCCCCCGGGGGCCCTATGGAGGATTAGGCTGTCTTCTTTGACACCCTCCGTGAGTTTGTAAGAAAGCTCCTCTTTGTTCTTCATGTGGACCCTCAAGAGGAAAAACATGATTACAGCAATTAAGTCACATGGAATACGGAGCCCAGAGGAGCTTGATCCAAGCTTCAATTCAGTAAACGAGTCTAAAAAAAGAGTCACGGGAGGAAGTTAGAATTATGCTACTGATGAAAAAAGGAGGGGCCACAGAGGAAGCCGTTCCCACGGCTTTTGGGAGTGTCCTCTTGTGCTCTGTAAGTGTGCACAATTGTCTGTCTGCTTCTTTTTTCTCTTCCGAGGACTGAAAACATGCAATAATGTGGTCGGCGTCATGCTGTGTGAAGGGCTATTCTCTGTGTGGGGCTCCGAAGTGAGGGGCACAGCAGACGTCCAGCAGGAAGGACACACCAATCACAGCAGATAAAAAGCGTGGGCACAACTCAGTGTCTCCACAAGAGCTGATAAGCCCACCCAACAGACGTCTCCTCTCCCCCGAACGACTGCTCATCTTTAGTCCAGGGTCAGTGAAGTGAAACATGGGGAAACAAACACCGTTGACAATGTCTTTTTTAGTTGTTTTAATTATCTGGAATATCTTTTTGACAATAATGGATGGGATTTGTATGTATGTGTTTGTAAACAAGTGACTGAATAACTCCTGATTTGAGTTTTTATATTTTTATATTCACTAACTAAACTGTGTAAATTAAACTGTGTTCATCTTTAATAACTGCCTTTTTGATTTTGACACAACCACCGTATTTTTGACGTATAAGTCGCACCTTTTTGCATAAATTTGCAAGTCCTGCAACTAATACACCGACGTGACGAATATACTCTTTTTTCCCCATATTTAAAACCAATTTTTGGCTGAGATCTGACAATTTGATTCGTTCTGACATGGAAAACGTTGAACACTACCATTTTCAGCCACTAGAGGGCCCTCGAGTAATATGGCAAGTGAAGTGTCTCATTAATAGGTAAAAGTGGCTATTAATGAGAAACTTGGCTTGCCATACTATGCCACCTTCGTCTCGCTCCAGAACTTCTGGAGCAAACGTCAAATCAGCAGCATTTCGCTGCGCCACCCAGGCGAAATGCAGCCGAATTGACCATTAAAGTGCATTTATGAAGGAAAAGTTCAACTGAGACACACCTTTACTATAATGTCGAGCAAACAAATAATTGTTTTTAGGTGGTTGTAAATTTCAAAGAAATGCACAGCAAGTCCTCCCTCTGCACGCTCCCGCAACATTGGCTTTAGAAATGCAGCTGATTTGACCGTTAAAGTGCATTTATTAAGGAAACGTTAAACGGAGACACACTTTTTCTATGATGTCGAGCAAAGAAATCATTGTTTTTAAGTGTTAATCTTGTGAAATTCTTGTTAAAGTCCTCCCATGCACGCTCCCACCGCCGCCATTTGGCAACCAATTGATTTTTGGCACAACACTGGTCCACGTTTCTGGGTGGTCAGAAGTGACACATAATAGATGTGACTTATATGACGAAGCAACTTACTGATGTTTTTTTCCCACTTTATTAGACATTTTGGGACTTATACGACTTATGCGGTGGTGCGACGTGTACGGCGGAAAATACAGTAGTTCTTTTTGTCAATTTGCAATTTGCAGTAGCAATAATAAAATAATAAAAAGCGCAAACTGTCTGTACACATATGAAGATTACAATTTAATCTGCCAATCAGCAGAGATTAACAAACAACTTTTCTCTAAAACTCATCCTTCAATAAAACGTCCAAACCTGCATGAAAATTCTTACAGGAGCTTAACGAGAAGTCATTTGAACAACGCTTCACTTCTCCTTCTGGAGCCTCCTGCAGCTTTGAAACAGTGTCCAGAGCCTCTGACATTGTTTTTTTAATCTCTCGGCTCCGTCAAATAGACACCTGAAGCGTTGGCGTCTCTTCTTTTTTCTAGAAGCAGCGTTTCATGCATGAAATATCAGCAGTTTGAGAACTGTGTTCATGCATCATTTTCATTGAGAGTGCAAGGTTGTATAATCGAAGCAAAAAGTCTGCGTACGTAAACGAGCTACAAGGCCATTCGTTGCCATGACAGAATAAAAATGTTACATTGCACAAAGCTGAACGTGCAAGCAGCTGCACATCCCAGCAGCCTCCTTTTGACACCGATATCCACTTGGATTGACGATCTAAACAAATCACTGCAACAGAGTCAACAGCCTGAAACTCCTTGAATTTTGATCGTCCCTCCAGGCTTCTCAAGGATGAAAACATTATATAACTTTTGCTCATTTCAACTTAACAATCAGCTTTTAGAAACTAAATCAAACTGTTTTATCCCCGGGCTGTCAGAAAGCTACAGAGAGTCTAAACTCAAGGACAGATGTAGAACAACAACAACAAAGTCCAGGAACTAAACAAACAGCTGCATTTTGTAAAAGAACACGAGTTGCCCAAAATGTCAGCGTAAGCTGAAAAATTGAGCTTTTAATCGAGCGCGGTTGAATTGAACCTGCAGCTGTTCAAACAGCAGGTTGCCCAACTTCAATGTTTAAATGGCTCCTCCAATATGGTTTTAATGCTGCGTGCATAAACAGCCTGTGGAATAATCTAGATAATCTTATCACCTGGTGTCCCACTTCATCAGCAGTGTTTTACTGTGAGGCTCACTTTCAGCTCTTTCATAAAGACACGCCTACGTCATGCAAACTTTGAGGTTTCCAGAAAATAAATCATCTGAACAGCAGCAAAATTTAAAAAAAAAGTTTTAAATCAGAGTTAAGTGACAGATTTTAAAATCAGTTCAGTTTACTGTGTTATACGTCAGCACAAGAAAAGTCTAAAGTTGCGCTTCTTTATTATTCGTTTTTAGTTTTTACAATAATTTATATAAGACAGATGCTTGAAAAAAACAAACATTCTATTTCAATTCAATTCGGTATAGCGCCAAATCACAACAGAAGTTATCTCAGGGCACTGAACAGAAACATTTATATATATAAAAAATAATAATTTAACACTATTTATCTGAGGAGCAGACTGCTTTGAGTTTCACTCCATCAGAACTCTCATCTTGAGCAAGCACGAAGGCGACAGTGGAGAGGAAAAACTTCCTCATGAGGAAGAGGCAGTCAGCAAAATGTTTAATGAATTTATTTGTTAATTGTATAGCTCTTTGTTTATTTTCTGGGTGATAGTTTTGGAGCCACATTAAAAATGACTTTTAAGGGGAAAAAAGCATATTTTTTTTAAAAAAAGCAGAATTAAGCTGAAGTGGTGTCATTTTGGGGGCATGCAATTAATTTGACCGTTTCTTTTTAACGTTGGTTTGATGTGGGGACATATTTTAGAAAGTGGGGCTTGAAGTTGTGATTCATGCAGAGCAGGGATGCTCATGCAGGAGGGAGTCTCGTCATAATTCTGATCCCAAAGACTCAGATTGTCTTAAAGTGCGTCCCCCACATTTTTAATCTTCTCTTAAATGAATAATTCCTATAGTTTGATTGATTCATTGTACCTGTACCACTCGAGTCCCTTGTAGTAGTTGCGGTCGAAGAAGTGCGGCTCTGCTCCCACCGCCCTGATGTCTGGATGCAGGCGCAGAAACTCCAGCAGCGCGCGCGTCCCTCCCTTCTTCACCCCGATGATGATGGCCCGCGGCAACTTTTTGCTCTCCGTCTCATTGAGGAAGCTGGACGTGACGACATTATTATTATTAATATTAGTCGCCTCGCCTCGGACTTCGTCCCACTCGTCTCCTCTGCTGTCCAGGTCGCTCTCATTATTCAACAAGTCCCTGGAGGCCCCCAGAGACGGGCCCTGCCTGTCAGCCGCCGCTGCGTCCGGTTCGTGGCTCCTCGCCGAACCGAACGTCAGGTTCGGTACCGTGGAGCAGTAGCCAACGCAGCAGTAGATCATATAAACCCACAGCGAGAGCATGACGCAGAACACGAGCAGTTTGTTCTTCACGTAGGATGATGGCACAACATGGAAACTGTGCAGAATCGGACTATATTCCATAAGAAGCGCGTGGAAAAGTTGGACTCCAGCTTTAAGGCATGTTGCCTCACTCCTCTGACCCGCTCCAAATCCTCAGCAATCGAGCCCCCAAACTAAAATGATAAACACTTTTACAGAGGTGAACTAAAAACAGCGAGCTCTGGTTGACTTTCTGCTTCCAACACGCATAAAAAACGTGTTTTTTTTTTTTTTTTCAAATATTTTTATTTTACTTTTTATTTCTTTCTAAAAGCATAAATGCGACAAATAAAGCGCAGGATGTCACCAGCTCGGGAGCAGTCCGTGCGCATCCATCACTTGTTCTGCGCGTGTGAGTTGCACAGACTGCGAGGCAACCATTATCACCATGAGTCAAGCTGGACAGTCTTACACATCCGGTCTTACCTTTCAAAATAAAACCATTCTGATCCATGCAGCGAGGGCTTAAAAAAAAAAATGTCTGGGATTGTATGTTTTTGTAAACATGCATGCACTAAAAAACGAATGAGTTAAAAAGAGTCCAGTTTGTAATTCAGAGCCAAGTCAAATTTGGACGGAGCTAAACTTTTACCCAGCTGAGTTGTGAGTTTGCATTCGTCCCAAAAATGTGTTTAAATTATTGGTACCATAAGGCTCCCTTTATAAATAATTTATAGATACATTATTAATTCCTCTATAAACACTTTATAAATCATTAATAACTTCTTGTTATGCATTAATTAAGGGCAAGAAAGAGACACAACTGACCATTTTCTTGTCAAATAGTGACCTGTTTTCCTATATATTTAATCTAGAGTTGTTATATTAAGCATTTCACACTAAGTTAGTATCTTGTAAGCACAATTAGCATTTGTAAACTTATTTTTATGATATAATATTGTAATTTATCATTGAATTAGGGCTATCAAATTGACCCTTATTTTAAAGTGTAAAATTTTACAATGTTTATTTTGACTATTAAATATTTATAAATGTAAAAAAGGAGACTTATTGCAAATTATTTAGTCGAGTTCCATATTTTGGGTAGTTTAAAAGAACTACCGAAAATCTGGGGATTATTAAAAAAGATCATAGTTGTTAGCCAAGAATTTAAAATAACAAATTGTGTTTTTGTTTCTATTTGTTGCTAAGGTTTGGAGCTCATTTTGAACTTTTATCATTACTTTAAACTTGGAATTATTTTTTTCATATCAGTTAGGGATGCACGATATTATCAGCATGGTATTTGTATCGGTATCGGTATTAGCAATAAAGTTAAATATCGGACATCGGCCATTTCATCAAAATAACACCAATATAAAATGCAATGTTTTTTTTTTTTAAATATATATTATATATTTATATAGTGTTACATCATTTTCAACCACCTTTTTGGTATTTGTATTTAGTAGCAGGCCAATCTGACAAAGGTCTTGCAGAATAATGTAATATTTTAATTCCACAGCAGAGAAAGTCTCTGTAAGTAGGTCTAGGGGAAAAAAAATATTGGTATTGGTATTGGTTATTGGCCAAACAAGTTTTCACATATCAGCAAATCGGCATATCAGATATCGGTCAAGAATCCAATATTGTGCATTCCTAATATCAGTATCATATCATTATCATATCATATTGTTGAATCACATTACATGTATCAATTTTCTACACATAAAATTTCATAAATAGTTCAAAATAACTTTGCAAACAATTATCAGAGCGTTGCTTGTAGAGACTGTTGGGTTGTTCCAGAAAGAATTTCATACATAAAGCAGAACAATACAAACAATTTGCATGTTTGACCAAGATTTCTGCTGGTTATCCATAATCTTGTGTTCATGTTTCTGCTGTGTGCTGTCTACAAATAGATCAGCTTCAATGAAACATTAACAGGAAGTCAGATAAAAATGTGCCACTGATCAGCTGTTTCTCAATAACATCATACAGTTTTGCGACCATAAAAGTGGTTCAGAGGTGAGTTGCTTTATAATAATCCCCCGTGATCTCCCAAAACACGACACGAGCGTGCAGTCCATCGTAAACAAACCTTTTCAGTGAATTTTCTGGAACTATAAAAGTTGATCATTTACTCGTGAACGTAGTGGAGGTGCAGCATGCAAGGTTCGTCTCTGCTGAGGGTGTGTTGCTGTGAATTTTCAAACGTCACTAAGTTTGGTCTCTGCGTTGGCGTCAACACCTCCTTTTGGAGCAGGGTCAAAGGCCTTCGGTCCCACTGCACCCCTGAGCTAGCAGAGGATTAGCAGGATTACCCCAGAGCTGCTATGTCACTCAGAGTTTCGCCAGAAACAACCCTGCCCCCTTCGTCTAAGCCCCTTATCTCATCTATGTCAGACACTGCTATATATGATACAGCATGTGGTGTGTGTGCATGTGTGTGTGTTTTTTTTAATCCCAACAGTTGCATTTTTACAGGTGCATGAGCACAAGATTGTTAAGGAAAATGTGCACATCCAGTGGTTTGCTCTGACCTCCGCAGCTAGTGATGCCCTTTGTGCACAGATTAGTAACTCACCGAGTTACGTTTGAATTACTTCATTCAAGTGTTGAAGTTTAAAAATGACATTTGGTCCGAAGGATGATTTTATCAACTAGAGAATATAAACATGATCTTAACTGCATGCTACTTTTTTATAAACTAAGCTCACAGAAATGAAATAAACAATCCTCAAACATATTTATTTTATATAACACGTAACTACTAACAAACTCCATTTTTGTAAAGTGCAAACAGACTGGAATGCTCATTCAAATGAACAATTAAATCATGCTGTAATTTATTCTGTCTTCAATAAAAACCTTTGCTCACGTTGTGCCAGCAATATTTACAACTCAACAGAATCTTAAACTGTAAATTGAAATTTCACAAAAAATCCAGAAATGACTCTTTTTCAGTTTGTTGCTCCCAACAATGAACGTGTTACTGACTCGCTCATTAATTATCATAATTTTTTTAATCTTTTCAAACAAGAATACGGTGCAAAATGTTTAAGTTTATCCATCGGATCTATTGAATTTCCAGGAGGGGAACCATCCCTGGTGTCACGGTGGCTCAGTTGGTAGACCTGCTGCCTCTCAGCGAGAAGGTCGCCGGATTGAATCCCGGCCCTTTCTGGGTGGAGTTTGCATGTTCTCTACGTGTATCCATAGGTTTTCTTCAGGTACTCCAGTTTCCACCCACAGACCAAAAACATGCATGTTAGGATGATTGGTAACTCAAAGGTTGTCCATGGGAGTGTGAATGGTTAGTGTGAATGGTTGTTTGTCTCATTTGTCTCTATTTGTCCATGTGATGGACTGGCGACCTGTCCAGGGGGGACGCCGCCTCTCACACACTGATGGATGGATACTGTGTGATTTCTAGGTTTGCCTGTCATAATCACTTTCCCCACAGTTGACAATGATCTAATCAGTCCACCCTTCCTCATCTGCACCTGATCCATGTTGACTCCTCTGCAGAGTAAGGATTTGGCAGTCATTCATCCAATGCCAGAACATTAAGATACCTTATGGAAATTAATCAGCAGCTGGTAAATATGAGAACACCTGAGAAAGTCTAACCTTGGGTTTTTTTTTTGCTCCTTGTGTTTTCAAGCCTGCTCCTCCGTGTTTTTCCAAGTCCTCTTCATTTCCTGTGATCTCACCAGTCATCACCTCTGCTCCAGAAAACCAAAGATCACCTGGATCAACTTCATACCACCATCGCCCTGTCACTCTCTCCAACGCTACTTACCTTTTGGATCAAACAAGCCACCTTGCCTATAGGAACCACTGGATCTCCCCTCTCACCACCTGCAAACAAACAAACTATTCAAACCCTGTCCATACTCAACGCTACCTTGTTTCACTTTCAGCAACATTTCCCATCCTTATAAAAACACTTAACTTTTCTACATTTTGAATCCTTGTCATCAGTCTGTTATCTCTGCGTCTTTACAACTAAGCGTGGTGTTAGATACGCGCACCAGTGCCCCCACCACCCCCCACCCCCTCCCCCCCCACCCCCCGACCCAGAAAGGAAGAAATAGATAAAGACTATAGATGGATGGATGGATGGATGGAAACCATCCCTCTCCTCACTGTCACTCGCCAACTCTACCTAGAGGAACCTGAGGAGTTCCCAGGTCAGTGAGGATGCATACGCTCCACAGTGTTTCAGGTCGTCCTCCAGGTCTACACCTACTGCAGGGTTGTGCCAGCAAACATCCAGAGGAAGACACCCTGGAAGCATCCTAATCAAATGCTTGGACCACTTCAGCTGACTCATTTTGATGCAGAGAAGCAGCAGTTCTACTCTGAGATCCCTGAGGAGGACAGAGCTCCTCATCCAGTCTCTACGGTTAAACCCCATGCCCCAATGGAAAGCCTATTTCAGCAGCTTGTACCCATTTGACTCTTTTGGTCATGATCCACGTCTTATGTCCATGAGGGTTGGAACATAGACAGACTAGTAAACCGAGAGCTTAACTTTTCGGTTCATCTCCTTCACAAGACTTCCGGAAAGTTTAACTACATCATAGAGACAAAGTTGTATCCCTGACAAGGAGAGAGCATTACAAGTCAATTTAGCTTAATAAACACATATACTAAAAAAAAAAAAACAAGTACAGTTTTATTAAAATCTTCACATTTAATTTAAAATGTGTCAAAAAAAATTATTTAAACCTTTACTTTACCAGGAAGAAATCCACTGAGATTCCATCCACACATACATTATCTTTTACGCGCTTCTTCCATTTTGGGTCACGGGGGTCGCCGGTGCCCATGTCCAGCAGTCACTGTGCGGGGGGCGGGGTACACCCTGGACAGGTCCGGAGTACCCGGAGAAAACCCACGCATGCACAGAGAGAACATGCAAACTCCACCCAGCAAGACCCCCGGACCAGGATTTGAACCGGAGACCTGCTCGCTGAGCCCCTCCATTGAGATTATGAATCTCATTTACAAGGATGTCCTGGACAATATGCAAATACAGCAACATAGTCTTAAAATAATATTTCATAATGTTGAATTAAATAATGATTTCAGCTGAACATGTAAATAATGATTTAGCTAATTATTCATGAATAATACACTACACCACATCAGTATTCAAAGAGGAATTTTCTCCCTGTTTTTGTCAATGTTTTCTTTTTTTCTCCGAGTTAACAGACGTCAAATTAAGGCTGACTCGAGCAACAAGTGACTGCAATTCAAAGCTAAGCGAATCAAAGAAATACATACACTGTACCTTCAAAACACGCATAACACCTTTTCTAGAGTCCCAGAAAGGTGTGCATGAACTCGTTTGTTTTGTCTGTTATTCTTCAGGATGCGTGGCAACAAAACCACACA